TCCAGCCTATAAATGTAGTTCAACGTCTTTGGATTTGAATGCTTGTTGAAGGGGTCAAAGTTCATTTTAGACAGCAAGGCAAACGATACAGGTTTTTCGTCTTCATAATGTATATAACATGAAGGCTGTTTATCCAAGTACCATTGATTAATTAATACATCGTCGCGAATATTTAGCTTCCTTATCTCTCTCAAGGCTCTTGCTTTAAAGTAGAACGCTGTTTTCATTTTTACGATTTGTCACTACCAAGAACAAGACAAGAATGAGACGCTTGCTCAAGGTATTCTTATTATGTAGAAGGGGGTAAGAAATTAAATTGCGCTCGTATTTTAATCTATTTCTAGCATTTTATTAACGTCGTTTACAAAAATTTCAGTAGGCGCGTTTACAAGTTTAAAATCGTTGTATTTACATGTAATATACGGTATTTCGTCCTTGATGCGATTAAAAAGGCTTATACTGTTGGGGTTATATTCTAAATCTGCCACAACGCGCGCTTTCGGGTGCTTCTTCTGTAGCCTCTTCAAGGATTGCGGGAAACGCCTTCTCTGTGTTCTAATGATATAGTGCGGATACTCGGTTGATTGATTTTTCTGTATTATAGCAAACATGTGTCGTTTGTTCGGGTTAACGACCTTTGGACTTATATCTTCTACGTAATTTTCCAACTTTTCATTCCGGGTTTTTAATTCACGCAACTTGGACATTAGAGCTTCATTATCGTGTTGGTAGTTGGTCTTGAATTCATTAACCAAATATTTTTCGATTATTTTACTGCATTTCATGTAGAATTCCGGAGATACCCAGCAAGCGATATCCAGGAACAACTCTTTGGGTAAGTAGGTGCCAGAAATAATGTCATATTGATTTCCATGTATATAGTATGAGCTCGGATACTTTTCTCCCCGAGCGCTTTCTGATACATAATATCGCATAAGTTCTTTTGATCTTTTATTACGTAGCCAATATTTAAACTCTTTTCCACCATCCTGGCATAGCTTTGTAGCGTTAAAGTAGCCTGCGTCCTTGTCCACAATAATCTTAAAATCTCCATATAAACCGTACCAGTATTGGTCCTGGATTTGCTCAAAGCAAACATCTCTTAGACTTGACATTTTGAGCACGTCCGAACACTTTGAACGTTAGATGAAGAATGATTACAGGCACTGAGTGATGACTATATTTATTTTTTTCTTAGCCCAATGCCGCTGAGGACCATTCCAGCCGATGTCTGAAGACGTCGATTGCGCAGCCGCGTGCGCAGCTCTAGACGCCGCTACACCAGGTGCACGACTCTCTGAAGAGGTAATTTACTGAATTATTCCCATATTATGTAGCTTGTTGATAATGCCACTACAGAGCCAATGTTCTTTAGTTAAACGGCACTCTTCGATATAATAGCGTAATTCATTTACAAGTTTGTCGGGATCGTCTTCGTCGCAATCTGATTGTTCATCATCATCATTTGGTGATTGGAGAGGTCTGTATATATATTTTCTATTGTTCTCGTCATTACTGTTTGTGTCGTCGTCTGCGGTTAGTTCGCTGTTATTGTGTCTGTTTTTCCTGTGTGAGATTAAGTTATCCTGTCTTGTAAATTTCTTTCCACATGTGTCACAGGGAAAAGAGGCGGCGGATTTATGCTTGTTTGCGTGGCGGCTAAGCCTGCTTTTATATGCAAAACCCTTGGAGCAGATGTTACACGTATACATGTTTACTCTTTGAATGGTAGATGATAAATGACCGTGCACGCGTAGATTATATCCTTTTATTATCCTTAATTACGTGACGATAACGGCAATGTGACTTAGACCTGGCGTAGGTGTTATCCTTTATTATCCTTTTATTATCCTTAATTATCCTTTTATCCTTTTATCCTTTTATTATCCTTTTATTATCCTTAATTATCCTTTTATTATCCTTTTATTATCCTTAATTACGTGACGGTTATCCTTATTTTACGTGACGAAATGTGACTTAGACCTGGCGTAGGTGTTATCCTTTTTTTTGATGCGTGTAGTAGTCGCGGATGATGTTTCTCCCGGATGCTCGCTCTCATACATAATCGAGATGCCTTCCTGCGAGTATTGTATCAAAATTTTTGCTGACCCCGACACGCCTAATACCATATATTCAAACGTCGAGGTTTTTCAGAGCGGGTCTATAGTCTTCATTACGTTTACAGTGTGTGTTTACTTCGTTTCGATAAAAGTGCCTGTTGAGGGGTGTAGTGTGGGGGACCTGATGCAGATTATGCTCTATGATGAAGTTGGTGATTTGGATTTAGTGGTACATTTTTATTTGTGTGAGGAAGAGGACTGTGTGCTGGTAGAGGATGATGATGATATAAGAGATGAGTGGTACGTAGTGATATCGCGTAGTTTAAATGCGTCAGAGGATTACCTAGCGGGTTTTCCCCGTGAGGAATGAGCTATTTCCACACCACCCCGGAGGTAAGCTCACGGTGCGTTGCCTTTTTTTATAGTGGAGGCATCCCCTGTAGGCCTACAACCACCATCTAACCGCTTAGTCCAGCTCGTAGAGATCTGCAGGGCCTATCAGCTCTAGCAGATCTTCCTTATCCTCTTCCTTATCCTCCTTACCCTCCTCCTTGTCCTCATCCTCCTCCTCCTTATCCTCCTCTTGCTCCTTATCCTCCTCTTGCTCCTTTGGCTCCACCACGCTAGGACTTGTTGCTAGTATTACTTTAGATTTTTATAAATTTTTTACAAACTTACGTCTCGGGAGTCATTTCCTCGTAGCATCTGAAAACCAATATTAAATTCTCTACAGTTTTAATCTTTTTATACTTACTGCAGATCTAATATAATCGTTCCGTCATAGCTAAAAAAGAATGTTTTGTATTGCGTAATACTGTTTATTTAAAAACTTACAGATTACCAGGAATTTCCCCGTATTTTTGATAGTGCCTGAAAGCTTCGATTAGACTGATTTTTTAAAAATTCATATACTTACTCGACGGTTTCATTGCAGAAACAGAAACAGCTGTCACACACCGCGCAGTAGTACATTTTTGAATAATGAAAAATAAGGAATTGCGGAAGTATTATCTGTTTTGCAAGTAATTTGCGTAGGTGGTAGAACGGCTCGTGTATCCTGTTTTTGATTAACGGAGAGAGAGATGTTCCCCGTATATTATCTCAAAATTCCAAATGGATCTGCTGCGTGTGGCTCGTGTAGGAAACTGTTAAAGTGTGTCCCTATTGTAATCATGTTTTTGCCGTAAAAGACTTTAGGAAACATTTACGCAGGCATCAATATTGTGTGGCGTGTAAAAGACGGTTCTATAAGGTTCATACCTATAAGAGGCATATGCGCCAACACTACACACACGACGTTAGTCCTTTACCGCCTGATTGAAACTTCTAATTATTATTATTATTATATTTTCAGGTAGTTCCTGTCTACAGCGAACATGGCCAGACGTGTACAGCGCGGAATGCGTCAGGTATGTGTACTTTAGGATATTAAAATGATCTTCTTGTATTCGTACCTTTCCAAAGCTCCTCTTAATTTCAACCGCCTCGAGTTAATAAACAAGGAAGATCGAGCGCGCGTCTATTGCTTGCATCTGAACATCTAGGTTTTCTTTATTTTTAAATCTTTAAATTTAATACCTTTCAGTCCTCGGTAGGCTAATCATGGGGGTCTTCGTTGGACGTACAAGACCTTTATTCATTTCAACAGCTGGGTAGTCGTTTTCTTTTTGAAACGCTACACTTTCCAGCGCCGCTCTCAATAATAACCTGTTGCATTCTATAGCAACTAGGTCTTCATCAAAAAATTTGATACTATGGTCTCGCGATATAGTGTTTGGCGCCCCAGTGGCTGTCCAAGATATTATTGCAATTTTTTTGTATATTTACAATAGCTTCCTCTTCCATTTTTCTACGGCTTTATGTACCTCTCCTCCATGACGAATGTATTCACAGCCTTTTTGTATCGGCGAGGAGCTGTCATCGCTTCACTTTCCAGCACCACCCCCAATTTTATATATGTAACGCTCCTTGTCTGACTGGCTAGAGCAGTGCGCGGGCCAGCCGGACGCCTGCTGTTTCACGGAAATGAACTTGTTTATCATCCCGTGAACAACCCTCCGATATTTGCAGCCTTGTCGTATTGATCTATTTGATAAGACTATATCTCGTAGATCTCCAGCAGGCGATACCTTTTTTCAACGGCTTTAAGCACCCATAGAGAAGTAAATTTAAGCTGTCTAGGAACTTTACATTTCCCACGACCATTGAAATTATTTTCGTCCCTCGCATGATAAGTTCTGGGGTAAGGTCTGTCTTTGGCTTCCTCTGTGTTGGGCTGCACAGATGATCGGCCGGCATGTGGGCCTCTACACAGTGTAGCGTTTAAAACGCTACACTTTCCAGCGCCGCTCTCAATAAAACGAAACTTTACCGGTGCTGTTTTTGTAAAGGAAATGTACTTCTCCTTATTGATGGGAAGTACATCAACCCTACCTGACATATCATTTGTGCTATTTTCCAAACGTTTTAAATGCCCCAAACTCGAACCAATTTCATACTTGCTTAATGCGCCCAAATATCCTTCTGTCTATTTCCTCATAGAAACTTCATGGGCTTCAAAATGAGCCAATTTCCTCTTTATTTCCTACAATTTAACAAGTAGCTTCCTAACCCTTTGCTCTCTAGGATCATCAGCCTCTATGAGATTGCCGTAACCAACCCCTTTGGAGTAGAGGCTGCTCCCATTATCTGCGAGATTACTTTGGAGTGAAGGTTACCTTCTCTTCGCGCTCTCTGTTGTTCTCTGATTTGTTTTTGCTCTCTTCCTCTCTCTCTTATCTATATTTTTGAATTTATTGTCTAACCGCTATCCCTTACCTTTAACTCTTCCGCTGCGATCTTTCTTTTCTTTCTAGCTCTGCTTCTTGTGAGCTTCCTCCGCTATTATACGGTTTTAATACTATATTCTTCAGCATGCTCCCTGTAGAACTTTCTAAGAAAATAAAGAAATTATGAAAGGCAGAAAAATTATGAAAAATTAAATATTGACAAATTAGTGAAAATAATATTACACCAAACTGAAAACAATTATTTTATGAACAATATAGAAAAATTTATTAAAATTAAATATAGAAAATTATGAAAAGTATAGAAAAATTTATTAAATATAGAAAATTAGAGATTTTTTATAGCTTTTTTAATCGTTCTCCTAACTATTTCGGCAGTATTTTTACCTTTTGTACACATACTGAGATTTTTTCTCATTCCGTGCCTCTGCTCTAGGTTCCTCCCGGACTACCTGCAGTAAGAAGAAGCGACCACCTGACAGCGCCTGGGGTTTTAAAAGAAGCGACCACGTGACAACGTCTGAGGGTTTAAATAGAGGTATAATTATTCTGTCTCTGTTGCAATAAATTATTATTCATAGCCTTGGTTTTCTTGATACAGCTGTAATATTTAATACAAATAACGTAACACTATTAATATGTCTTGAACGTTTGAGATTCCGATGAAGAAGGATGTCCCTCCTCCTTTAACACATGCCGCTATTTCGTCTCCTTTAGTTTAAGCACTTTAAACTTTTATATATCATTCCGGCATACGACGCTATTAGACCCATACCGCCCACACCATTTATACGAACCCGCCAAGTACACCGCAGGTTACGATAATGACGTCATCTACTGATAACGCCAAGAACACCGCAGGTTACGAATCCTCCTGACATCTACTGATAACGCCAAGCACACCGCGAACCCTCCGTCTGACGTCATCTACTGATAACGCCAAGCACGCCGCAAACGTATACGACGTTATTAGACCCGGTTACTGATAACCGCTAAGAACACCGCGGCTACAAGCGCGCGTTGGGGGCCCTGGGGCGAAGCTCCTCGCGGGACATACTCGGGCATTGAGGCTGCTTACGTGGGGAATCCTACGCGGAGCACAGGGAGCAAAGCCTTGGGTGACGCGGGGGCCCCAGGTGGGGCGAAGCCCTAGAGGCAACGTAGGAAGGGGGCCCCAAGTGGGGCAAAGTCCTACGCGGGGAACGGCAGCGCGGGGATACCTACACTAAGCGGGGTGACCCTGAAAGCGAGGTCGGGCTTCTCGGGGGGCAGCTCCTCGAATGACCTTGAAAGGTACAGTTTTCGCTACTTTGAACCTTCATAAGAAAATACATGGGATTTTGGCGTCATATGAACATAGCTATACTACTCCCAGTTGAAGCCGAAGGGACATTTCGAAAATCGGAATCATCCCGTTCCGCCATTTTCCTTTTCGGGGTGACAGCCTTGGAGATGCTCGGCTGTACCAGAACCTCCTCCAAAACCACCTCTGCGATTTCTGGCAGATCCTCCATTTCCCCGGAGATGCTGCAAGGAAAGGAAAAAAAATGTTAATAAAAAACGAATCAAATTTATTAGACTGTTATACAAAAACAACAGAATATGATTGAAATATGTATAGGAATAAAATAACTTACGTTTCACTGATCACGGCATCAACATTGAGCGGATGCTCCTGGAGTTCTTCCCTGGCCTCCGGTGAAAGTGAACAGATTGTTGCGGGATGCATAGCGACGATGTTATTTAGCTTGGTATTCGTACAAGACTAAANAACCGTTAGCGAAATATAAGGTGCTAATGCAAATTTGAATTTACCACCAATAAGGCGCTAATTACAAGTATGTTCTGCGCAGGTATTAAACATAT